TTAGGGACATATCAAGATTTGAATAATTAAATAATGGATTTAATTACAATTCAAATCCTTTCCTTATTAGCATCCAGGAGGCTTTTGGAAACCCTAGAAGAGCTCCGAAAACTGTTCACCCTAGGATGGTTCTAGAATTGCAAATGTTGTTTAACTATTAAACAGTTACAATTCACCCCTTGCACCTTTAATTAATTCCAGTTAATCGCAAATTAATTCAAAATTAATTCTGATTAATAATTAATTAATTCTAATTGATTTCATATTAATTTATTAATCATATAAATTTCTAAATCAATTATTTTAACAATTAATGCTATATTAATTTATTAATCACATAATAAATTAAGAAGTCAACTATTTGTTTCCAAGTAATATATTAATCATATAATATATTAACACATTAATTCCTCACAATTTCCAATTAGTTTATTAATCATATAATAATATGATAAATCATCTTCTCTCTACAAATGTCATTCTAATCAAGTTCCAGTTATGAGGGAAATTCAAAAAGGACTTTACTTTCAGTTACAAAGAATATACCAATTTAGTTATGAGCTTAGACATCTTAATCCAACAAAAGAACAAGACAGTAACAACATACACCTACTGAGACACATTGCCTATGCCCGATCCCACTTGGTCGGTACATCAAGCCCTTTGGACACACTGGCTAAGCCTGATCCCCCGAACCTGAACCCATTGGGACACATTGGCTACGCACGATCCCCTTGCTCAGTTTGTCGAGCCCTTAGGACACATTTGCTACACCTGATCCCCCACTCGGATACACCGAGCCCTCCTATAAATATTTCTCAGTACATGAGCGATTACCAACCACTACACACCAGCCCAATGTAGTGCTACCCGTATAAACATCCTATAACACACTCGAGCTAAAGCAATGAATGCACAACATCACACAGTGTAATAAGAAACTCACTATAAGTAGAAGATTAAACCTACAGCTGTAGCCCAAAACCAACTCACACCAAGTCACCCTTCAATACTCAAAACAATAGTAATGAAGATTTAAAATGGCTACTATTCACCCTAAACAAATGATTAAACTATTCAGTTAAATTTGTAGATTTTAACCTGAAACATCAGCATGTTCAAGACCCGTTTCCATCCCTTAACCGTAAACTTATCCAAACCAGATTACAAATCCATATTCATGAAGTTCACGTCAATTAATTTCCAAGGACTGCTTGCACAAATGTATACGATTTTTCTACAATTTATAATGATTTTACAAAACTAATTCCGGACCTATCTATTATTTTCACCCATGTTATAGCCATCATCAGGTCAAGAAAAAAGTCAAGAACATACTAAACTCAAAATCTAAACTTTGAGAGTTTACGAATCTTAATTTCGACTTCCGATGATTTTTCTACAATTTTTACAAGACAGGGGCAGAATTGGTAATTTGCAAAAATTAATAGCTTTGACTCCTTAGATCAAATTGGCTTCTTAATCCATTAATCCATTATGAAAATTGACTCTAAAGTTGTAAAATGATGACTTTATAAGGACTACAATGTTTTAAGTCAAAAAATTCCAAAAGGAATGCAAACTATCAACTCAAAGTATGATATCTAAAGGGGAATTTGAAAGTACAATGCAAGAACGATAAAATCATGAACTAGGGTTAGGTATTCTCCAAGCTCAAGGTTCCAAAAATCAGAAACCACACCACCCATTTTCACACTAGCAAGTTGGTTAATGGCGGTCGTTGATGATAGCCATGACCAAAGGCTCTGGTGGTTCTCGATGGTACTATACTCGCATAAAAGAAGATGAGAAAGGAGAAGGATCAATTGGTTACCTAATAATCGCATGCTAACAACCAATACTCCATCTTGATTGGTCTCATTCCTTCCTCACACTCTCATTCGACAAACTCCCAAATCCAATCGCTTTCCTTCTCTCCTATTTTCTGATTTTATGTTGACCCATCACACGATACCCTCACAATTGCAATGATGCATTCCTAGATCGGCCATCTGTATTTCGTATGAACCGAGTGTTAAGAACAAAATCAGAGTACATAATGAATTAAGAACAAGGATGTAAATATAATCTGTTTGGCTCTTTGATTATATCTTTAAGAGTACGAGAGTTCTGAAAGAGTAAAGTGCTCTCGTTCTCACAACAATACAAAAGTTACCCTCACTCTTATACTTACCCTTATTTATGTGGACATATAGACGCGTACAAAAAAACATAAGGACTAGACATGAAAGTTTCAAACTCTAAACAATGCCTTATGCAATACTTACATTCGAAATACAATACATAGACTTCGAATCTAAACATGACTAATTGTACTTCGACACCTCACAACATACTTCGAACTCTACAATCCCCCCCTTTGTGAGAAGTGTCGAATCTATGTCATTAACATCTTCGCGGCCTGATGAAGTACTCTGCGAACCTCTGTATACCAAATGATCGTCTTTCAGATCTCATCCTTATCTCCTGCTATATTCCTCTTGCAATTATTAAGATGAACAAGAAGATTCATATACTGAGAGTTTGTGTACCTCTCCACATCACAAACTTGAAATAGAAACTTTGTCACCTTTTTTTGCTTGTTCTTTCCAACAAAGACTACACCGAAAGCTTTGAGAAAAATATCCCCATCCTTAAATTTCTTGAGATTACATTGTCCTTTCAACATCGATTGAGGCACCTTTATTGTTCTATTCATGGCCAAAGCAAGCTCGACATCTATTAAAGCTAAGCAATCATAGTAATTGTCTATGAACAGTTTGATATGGGCAAAACATATTAGGAAATCTTCTTTGTTGTTAACTTGCAGTTTTGACACATCAACAGAGCTTAATATTTTTGCCACATTGATGAGATCATTGAGGTTCATTAGACGAAAGTCTGCCACCGAGAAGTCACAAGCCACATTGTTTGCTCTAAACATATTCTATTGAAAGTTCTGTAACAAGCCTTCAAACAGAGTATCTTTGGAAATGTTTAACACCATTACGATTCTGACTAAAGACCGCACTTCTTCTTCTTTCTTACCCAGAAAAGCATGAAACCTCAACTTCAATCTCTTGAACTCATCTTTATCTTCAAACTTATCAAGCAATTGATACTAAGCAGAGACGAACATCATGTGGTTAATCGGAAAATCCAGCTATTTAAAATCAGTATTTTGGATTTCATAGCTCTTCTTTGGAATCATTTCAAAATCATGCATAACACCGGATGAGACGCTTTTTTCGATGGTCTTGTAAGAGTACTGCTTGCATGGATCACCTTTATTTAATCCAGGTGATCACTTTGTCTTTGTCGCATTATACTATTTAGTTGTCTTTGCTTCTCAATTTCATTCTCCAAAGCTTTCTTCTTTTCTTCTTCTAAAGGATTGATCTCGATACCCTCCCCTTTATTTTCTTTTTTCTTCTTTCAAATGTGGTGGCTTTGAACTCGAACTCGATCCCCCTGCACTTTGTCCTATGATAATGCCTTTATTCAGTGGTCTCAAAGCTGTTGTAGTCGAAGTAGTTGTTAAAGAATTAGGAAGTGATGTTGGAATTTGCATCGACATCACCTTCCCCATAACCTTTCTTGTATCTGAATCCTTCAAAGCGCCAAATCCTTTATCTCACCATTGCACCACTTGTTTGACAGGTTGGGCATTGGTTGGCAGAAGAGATACTAACTGGAGAAAAGGATCAAGATAAGTTTTTAGACTCTTTTAAAGGGATGAAATCATCTTTGAAATTGGCTCCATAGAAACAGTGCATTGTCGTGAAAGACATGGACTCCTTCAAGCTATCCAAAAATTCATCTATCTTGAGAAACATTTTCGAATCAGATTCTGTCTTGGCATAAATCTTGGTAGAAAAAGAAGTGTTATATTCCACAAGCTTCTTTATTGCATCTGCAATAACATCTCCTTTGCCATGAAGACTAGAATAATTCTTTTCAATCTTCGCAACCTCCTTCGTCATTTTAGACTTGAGCTCTGCCACTTTGAGATTGACAGACTCCTATACCTTCTTCACTTCTTCGACAAAAAGAATGTGGCGTTCTTTGGCGACATAACAAAGCTTGGTGACCTCATGTTTAAAATTGTCTGCATGAAGTTTTAAGCGATCTTCATGTTGTGTTTCAATCTTTTCCATAGCCAACTTCAGTCGATGTGCTTGTGACTTAAGCAACATATCCATTTCAATTCCTGACACTGAATGTCGATCCCATGTGTCTGTATGAATTTGCAACAATGATTTCAGCTTGTTGCTCAAAATCTTAAATTGTTTCCCAAACATAAGCATGTGACCTGGAATATTATCTTCTTCTAGGTCGCACTGAATTTCAGCAAACAATACCATCACATCATCATCATCTTTATCTTCTTTGTGAACAGACTTTTCCCCCTCAGTAGATTGGGATGAGAAAAGAGAAGTAATGGGTTGTTGCATGATTTTGGAAAAAGTGGGTGATATTGTGGAAGTAGGTAGTGAAGATAAAATTGGAGAAATGAATGGTGGTAAAGAAGTTGAAGCATCGATAAGAGTAGTTTCAATAGTAGAAGATAAAACAAGTGTGGTAGGAATAGATGAGGTTTCGACAGAAGTGGTACCTGGAGCTTCAAAAGTCGTCACCCCTTCACCCTTGTTGACATTTGTGTCTATATTAGATATGTTCAAAGTGATGCCTGAGGTTCCAACCTCCTCCATAATGGATTCAGCCATCGAGACCTTGGGTGATATGACCATTGTCTTCTCAGGGATGGTAGTGGTTGTAGGATCACCCAAATCAGTGGTTGTGTCCGTATTAGATGCTTTCACAGTACCACCAAGACTTCTAGTCTACTCGAAAGTCGACTTAACTGAAGAGTCCCTTTGTGGTGATGCGAAGCCAAATCCATGCTCTTCTTGATGAATAGGAGATTTGTCACTCCCACTCTTGAAATTAGGTTCTATAATAACCTCATCAAGAGGATCTTTCAACTGATTCTTCTTCTTTTATATATGCATTTTCACCACTTCATGTGCTTTCCGTTTCTTCGAAGCTAGTGAAAATGGAGTTGGAACATCAGGAATTTTCACACCCTTTATATTAAGTTGGGGTTTGCGGAGTTTCCTGATTTTCAAAATAAAACCCTCCTTTGGTGAAGAGAAAGGCTCAACAGGAACGTCTTCAATGGTTGGTCGTTCTGGAGAATGATGAGGTCGATGTGATGGCTTCTTGGTTCGTTTAAGAACGTCTGTTTTCGAAGGAACAACTTCCTTTTTAACATCTTTTGCAACAGGTTCTTGAACTGGTTTGGTAATCTCCTTCTCGACTTGCACATGAACAGACTGAGGTTGGTCAGACTTCTTAGGTTTCTTGGAATCTTTACCGGTCTTCGAAGTACCTTCTTCTACTTTTGGTAACAAAACCCTACTTGTTCATTAGGGTTGATTGTAGTCAAATAAGTAACAAGAACAGGATTAGCCGGATCCACCTTTCTTAACAAGGCATCTAGGATTTGAGACACTGCAGGAAATAACACTGGATCATCTTCAACACTTTTCGGATGCTGATAGATTGAAAACTCTGCCTTCGGAACATCATATGGAACCATAATGCCTTCTTTCTCATACACTGCTTGCAGAATCAAGCTCCAATACCTCACACAGGAGACACCATTCATAACATTGGTGTAAAAAATACTTGTTCCAAACTCATCCCACAATTAAGTGACACAATCCACATTGAGATCACTACTAGAAAACAGCCCTTTAATGACGCGCAAACAATGACACACAGTGATTTACGATACGCAAAAGCGTACGCCCTAAAAATAATGTCATCTCTTCTAAAATTTGAAGGATAGATGACACGCATTTATGCGTGCCCTGAAACTAGTGTCAGAACAAAAAAAACACGGAGGGCACCGGTCGTAAAAAGTGCGTCGTCTAAGTATGTCGTTTTATAATTTTAATAAAAGGCGCGTTTAAAGGGAAACGAAATCCCTAAAAATTATAAACCCCACCTGATGCATCTACTCCTTCTCCATCTACTCCTTCGTATGTTGTACCCAAGAAACCCTAATAGTGTGGCTGCCAATCTTTATCCCTTTCTCCATTTTGTCGCCTTCAAGCTCTGAATTAGGGTTTACATTGGCGATAATTTCAATTTCTCTTACACCAAACATCCCAGCTCTTCAACCATAAATCCACCGCTGCTACTCCGCCTCCTTTCTCCGGGCTCCGCCGCTCTTCGAAGATCGACTCGGCTTCACTCTCCACAACTCAACCGTTCTTAAAAAAATTCAATTCTCACATACGTCTCTCCTCTTATTCTACACGACCTTACACCGGCAATGTGACCAATCGCCATGGACAGTACTGAGAAGGTATACACATGCTTTTTCATCTTAGATATTTTTTATGTACCATCAGAACTAATGGTTGATGTAATGGATATAGGCATTGTTGATGATGACCAAATAAATTTGGATACAAATAGCAACCTTGGAATGTAATGGACATATACACTTTTTTTTCACCATCTGCAGAGATCTTAACCACACCAATCAGTACATTGTGGGACTAGCTCTTTGTGCTTTGGGTAATATAGGTTCTGCAGAAATGGCTCGTGATCTTGCACCTGAAGTTCAAAGATTGCTGCAATTTCGAGATCCAAATATTCGTAAGAAAGTAAGCTGATGTTAACATTCATTTCATTTCATGATCTCTCAAGGATGTTTCATCTAATTCTCACATTTCACACTTCATAGAATCATACTCACACAAGTTCTTACAATTACAGGCAGCATGAGGTTCCCTACTTAAAGAAAAGCATCATGGGGTTCTTTTAACAGCAATCCAGCTCTGTACAGATCTCTGCAACCTTAATGAAGAGGCTCTTGAATTTTTCAGGAAGGTAAATATACTTGATCTTGTCAAAGATCCTCTATTATTTGTTGGGATTGTCTTCTTCTTGTTCTCTTTCTTTATCTTTCTAATGTGTATTTGTGCTATGAATTGTTTGGCATATGATTTTGTAAGGGCAAATTAGTAATTTTAGTGATGAGATATATTTCTTTTTTCCTCCTTTGTAAGGGTGTGTTTGAGAAAGCGAGATTTAGGTGTGGGACACTGGTTCAATCATTCTTTCTGTTCACTGAAGCACTAGGTCTGATTCTTCTCATCATACATAGTAAAGTATGTTATCATTTGTAGATTTTTTGTGTATTTTTTTTATTACATAGGTTTTAGAAATACTATCACGATATATGCATGTATTATGATGAAGATTGGTTAAAATCATTTATGCCTTCATTGTGTTGGACAAAATGCCCAAGTCAGTTATAGCTTTTGATGTATGTCAATCTATCTCAGGGATGAAATAGAACTTTAATGAAGAACTAACTACAACTAATTAGTTTATGGAAGGGTATTCTTAATTCTTAAGCCACATGAATCTAAAACTAGTACTTTAAAAGATGAAGGCTATATGTAAGTAAATTGATTTGAGATCCTCATTGATATGAATGCCTCTAATATTTTCTTGTTCTCAATGTAAAAACCTGTGTGAGGGAGAATGCTGTTAAGTCATTTTGCAGGATTGGATCATAGATGAAGGACACCAATTTGGTTGAGTTTTTTTTCCTTTTGGTTAATGTTGATTTTATTTATTTCTTAGTAATTAGTAATTTACTTTTATACTCCTATGTTCTTGTCCATTTTGGAGTTCATAGTGATTTTGTACTTTTGTATCCATGTCTGCAGAGGTTAATTGGCTGCTGGTGAATGCTTGTTGGATCAAGTTCAATAGCATAAAACCAACAATTGATGGTGAAGCTTATGAAATTGAAGATGCTTCCAGTTTCCACATGGTACTTGTTCAGATCCCCATGTGTAATGAAAGAGAGGTAACAGATCAATTCCAATTGCTTGTTGATTTTGATGTGTTAGTTACTATTTATACTTAATAAATTTCTACCCATTTACGTAAATATGTGAATTTAAAATGGTCAAAAATTATTCAAAATGGTTACACTTCTATCGTGTTTGGACATGTATTTTGGAAAATATTATAATGTTTGGATGTGTATTTTAAAAGAAGATTGCAATGTTCGGGTAATTTATGAGTATTTTTCAACTAAGGTTTAAATAGTCAGTGAAATTACTCATATACCCCTCAAATAACGAAAAATTTACCAATATTCATCACCTTTGAAAATGATAAGTAATTACGCTTTAAAACATTGCCTCATGTTATATGATTCCAATTATTGAATATTATTATATTACAATGCACATCCAAACACCTATAGATCACTTTATTTAAAAATAGATCATTATTTAAATGTATGGAATTCATAATTATATTTAATAAGCTAATTTTCTGTGGATATTTTTTTTGAAGGTCTATCAATAATCAATTGCCTCTACTTGTCGATTTACTTGCTGCCAAAGGTAAAACTACTTAAAAACTTGATTCTGGATGGAATTACAATGTAACGTAAGTACTATTTTATACTAAACATTCTTTCCATGTTTCCCATCTCCAATGGGTTCTTTTTCAAAATCAATATCAACCTGTAAAACAAAATTATATGAATTAATATTTGTTTTAACTAAATTACAACTTTCATCCTTGTGGTATGTCAAAAGTTATGGTTTTTTTTCTAGATGTTTGATTTGTTGCACAGATGATCCCTAAAGTGTAAGTCTAAAATGGCTATTTTACCCTTGTCTTCATCTCCTTCATCTTAAACTCTAAAATTAAACCAATTTCCAAATCAAAACCTAAAAAAATATAACCTAAAGTTGAACCTTTTTATCCTTGAATGATATTATGAGAAAGGTAGGGAATTCGTTCGGGAACCCGGAGCAAGGGTATACTCATAACCTCATCACGGGTTCATACAAGTGTTGTGTTTATTGCCATTTGTGAAGCGGATTATTAATTATCAAAGTAAGTCAGTGCATTGGTGTTTTTCAGGTTGATAATGAAGTGGATAGACATGATGTGCTAATTGGTATTATACACTTGTACTTATATATCTAGTTAATAATCATTCTTGAATATAACAATTGTTTTTGTTTTTAATCATATTAGATGATGTTATTTAGTAACAACTTGTTTACTTGTGCAGAAATATCAAGAGATGAGACAATGCGGAGGCAGTCAACTGTGGTCAAATTTCACTCATCCAACCCTTTGCTTACAAATGGTTTAGTTACTTGGATGGTAAGTACATTACATTTTTATATCCTTATTTTCCCATTAACAATTATTATAACTTACAAGAAATTAGTTACATTAACTATGATTCATATATTTTTTGTTTAAATTGGTTTACAGATATGTTTTTTTAGACAATTTGGGCGTTCTGTTGTTCGTGCACATTACCTTACTCTGGGTAAAGCCTTCATCATGGTATGAAACCTTAACTTATGCTAAGTTGTTTAAATCGTATATTTCTGTAGTACACCTTTAACTTTGTAATATATTAAGTTGAGTCCCCTTAATTGAATTGCAATATAGGTGTTCAAATTATGCCGTAAACCTTATTTTTGAATCTTGTACCTTGAAATTATTGTTCATAGTTGTTTGTTTTTCTTGTTCTTGGCAGAACCACAACCTCACATCAAAATATGATTTTCACAGTTATATGATTCGATCCATGGAAGAAGAATTTCAAAGAATAGTTGGAGTAAGGTAAGGAACTTTCATTCTATATTTCTATCACATCTGCAGTAGTTTTTTTAATTCTTACTCTTTTTCATTAATATAAAGTTGCTTTCTTGATTCCTTGCAGTGGTCCACTCTGGGGATTTGTGGTGGCCTTTATGCTCTTTAACATAAAAGGTATTAATTTTACACTGAACAAGCTTTCTAGGGTAATTTTCAATGGTGTGGGCGTTCACGTCTTTTGCACAGATGAACTAAATAATTGTACCTTGCTTGCAGGATCAAATTTATTTTTGGATTGCTATCCTTCCTATTACTGTAAGAAGTCACTTTTATCATTGTTAGCTATTGGCCTTTTTCATATTCTAACTGTGTGTGTGTGTGTTTATGTTCAACTTGTTTTGCTTGTGGGGACATAACTGCAACATGTTATTACTACTTTGGCACTTGAAAGTGCTGCAAATACAGGAGGCTTCTTTTGCTGAAAGAAGGTTAAAGCCTCGAGATGAACTCTTTTGGTTTAAAAAGCCAGAACTTTTGCTCAACTTAATCCATTTTATTCTTTTCCAGGTTTGTGTAGTTTCATTCCATTTGATTCTTCATTTTCATCAAGTGTTTGTTTTTAGGGCTAATAACACAACTTCAAAACTCATGATCAATTCGTATGCAAAACACGTTTGAGCTAGCTTCTTTCTTTTGGTTCTGGGTAATTTCTTCTACTTAATCCCCTAACATATATTTATACATCACCTATGCACTTTTGTTATTCCAGTGGCAATTCAGTTATAATTCGTGTTTCGTCAAGAACCACATGCTCGTGTACATACGCCTGTTTTTAGGGTTTGAATAAAGTTCCTTTCAATTTTGACACGGATTTCATACAAAATTAAACCTCTCAATATTCTTATCTGTTGTTCTTATCTCCTGTTTCCATTATCCAGGTTTGTGGGCCAATTCTTATGCAGCTATAACACCCTACCACTCTATGCCCTAGTTACCCAAGTACGATTGTTTCATAAAAATATCCAAAAATATGTGGGAGACTCCAACATTCCGACAGATATAGACACTTATATAACAGTGTCGCACTGATGTGAGATACAATAACATGAACAATGTATTGTTGTACACAGATGGGTACGAATTACAAGGCGGTTAGGCATATATGGAGATGATTCAACGGTTCACACGGATACAAGCACAGTCATATCTGTTGAGGAATTAGAGCACCATGAGCTGGTACCAACATGTGTGTGTATGTATCCTTTTCATACCATGAAGCCTTAGATCATCCTGTTACATGTAAGTTTTTAAAGTCCATTGTTTCTCATTCGTCTATTTAAATTGGATATGTCGCTATCTAACTTCTTATAGTTATTGATTGGTTTCTTGTTATATATGCTTAAATCTTAACAGCTATCATGACAACGTTCAACAGTAGTTTTGGATCGACACCTTCTAGCAGAAGATATCGTGTACATATTCTTGTGCTGCTATTGTGGATTCAGGAACATCCTTTCTTACTAGTCCAACTGTATGTATCTTTACGTGAAGCTTCTGTTAGAACTATTAATCTCAGGGATTTCAAGTTTTTCATATTTATTGTATCTAATTAGTTCGAAAATTTCTGTTACAACTTCTATTGATTTGTTTTATCTTTCCATGGGACGATTATTTGTATGACATTAAATTTTATGCAATGGATTGTATTTTTTGTAAATGATGTTTTATTTTCTATTATGAGACATTAATTGCAAATTTAATTTGAATATTAGTAAATCTATAAATAATATTTTTTTTAAACATTTAAAATTACGATACGCAAAAATGTGTGTCATCTTCATTTATGACATGACCTTTCTTGACAGGTGCTTCCTTTATACGCATTGCATGTCATAAACACGCGCTTCACAAGGTTATGACACGCAAATGCGTGTCGTCTTCCTTTATGACAGGGCCTTCCTTCATACGCATTGTGTGTCATAACTGCGCGTCGTAAATGCATGTCGTAAATGCGCGTCGTAAATAGACGACGCGCAAAAGCGTGTCGTCTCTCGTTATGACAGGGCCTTCCTTGACACGCATTTGCGCGTCGTCTGAGCGTTTTACGACATGCATTGCGCGTCGTAAAAGTCTGTTTTTCTAGAAGTGGATCATATTATAGCCTTGTAATCATAGCATATACTGCCAATTTTGCTTTGTCTAAAACAGAGCTACGATCTGTTAGACACTGTAGAAAAATGCCAAACAAGAAGTTCCAGATACGCGGTAATGCAGACTTGCGAAACTGGCTGAGTCCTGTGAGTGGGGGTTGGTGACCCATCTCATTGAACATATGAACCACCTGTTCATTTGTAACCTCGTAAAACGGACCTGTATTTGGAAGACTCAAGATTTGTGAAAACTGCTTCTTAGTGAGTTTATACTTCTTGTCATTCGAGAGTTGAAACGTCACCACCTTAGATGATTTGTTAAGCACTGCCGTAGAACCAGCCAATGATAACCATGTCATGGGCATAGAGAAAGAAGCATACATAACTGTTGAATGAACTGAATGATTGAGAGCAACAATCAACATCTTCAATTCTTTAGGATACTTCGAGACATCAGGTTGAACATGGTAGATGGAACATTGAATCTTCAACAACGGTTGAGATGTTGCTTCTTCATTTTGTTGGGTGGATCAATGTGACCAGTTGGTGCTGCCATTGTTAGGGTTTTGAAGAAGAGATGATTATCGTGAAGAAAAGATTTGGGGAAAATTAGACTAGATTGTGTAAAGTCTTTAATTTTGACCACCAAAATCTTTTTATAGCCCATGGAAATTTTGAATTTGAATCAACCACAAATAAAAAACTGCCACGTGTAGTCTTCGAAAATGGGTCAGTTTCCGGAAATATCGCCACGTCTGAAAAAGTGACGAGCATTTTTCCCTTGAAAACCGTGAAAAAATAAACCGCCACATCCGCCAGACGTTTCGTTTGCCCCAAGAGGATAAGAACCGTCACTTGACCCTCGTTCCGAGGCAAGGCTCATTCGCTTTTGGGATGAGAAACGAAATCATATCCAGACTTGTGAAATCTAGGTTTGAGTTGGTATTACCCAAGACCTCGAGGATTTCAGTGCAAATGTGTGCCAATGAAATAGCGGGAACCAAAGAAAAAAATGTGGGTATAGTGACATCAAAGAAACATTCGATGTAAAGCAGATGGATCCCGGGAAAAAATCACTTCATTCAACATCAAGAGAGATATCGAACTGCTTGTGTCGTATCCCGTGAAGTACAATAAAATACCCGTGAATGAGTGTCGAAGGGCTTCTTTTTACTTAGGCTTCGAAGGTAGGCTCAATTTTGTTCAAAACCAAAACTTAACATAAGTGTGAGAAAATTGGACAAAATTACTTGTATGAACAATGTAGTCAGGAATAAGTAAGGTGGAAAAAAATATTTCAAAGTGATGAAGATTCGAAAAGATATTCAAACAGAAACCATATTCCAAGAAAATAAAAACTGGATCTTGTTAGGTAAAAGTATCTTGGTGAAAGAAAATTTTATCAAGACCACGCAAAACGAAAGGAATATGATTTTGAACATCAAATGGTGGAGCCGAAACAATTGTTTCGCTAAAATCTTGAACATAGTTCACCGTCAATTCCTTGTAAGTTGGGAATGTTAGGTTTCACCATCAGCAGGGAACATGAATCAGGATCATGAACACAGACTTGTGCAATATCTACATTCTGGTTGGTTTCTACCAGAGATGTCGAGGATATGCAAGTGAAGTGTGTGAATCGTGAAGAATAAAGTTGGTGAAAAAGATTGTTTAAGAAAACATTGTGTACCTCTACGAATGATATGGACTTAGCAGAAATCTGTAAACTCAAAATGAGAAGAGAAAGGTAGCTCGTTGACTAATGTGAATATAGCCTGATTGGGTAGGAACCATCAGAATGAGTGATCCATTAAGGCTTCAAAACACATTAAGTATGTGAGGCTTATTGTCAACATACAACAGCATGCTTCTAGGGACACCTTACAAGTGCAATGATTCGAAATTGTACCTATCCCTCTGTCATTAAGCAATGTCCACCTCAATATGTTGATTGAGATATAAAAAAAATACTAACCACACAAAACAACAACGAAGAAAATATTTTTGGATTTTTGTTTTTGAAATTAAAAGAAAAAAATAAGAAACTCTTTTTGGAATTTTTTATGTTTGAAATTTAATGAAAAAATTAAGAAAATATTTTTGGAGTTTTTGTGTTTTTGAAATGTAAAAAAAATAATAAAATCTTTTTGGTATTTTTGATTTATAAAAATAAAATTAAAAACAGTAAAATGTTACCAAACATGCGAAGAAAGAAGTATCGACTTCCAGACAATGTACTTCGAACAACAAATCTTCTCACACAATGAAGTTTGATCTGAACCATTAAGAGACATTTCGAATTTGAAGGTGGTCGAACGTTGAATGGTGAACAATAACTTCTGAATCCGTCCGTAATATTTCGACTCCTTGTTGTTTCACGATGAGGACAAACTTGGAACAACACTTGCATCGAGCATTCCTAAACCTGACAAGATCCTTAGAAAAGATTTCGCATCCAAAGGCTTTATAAAAATGTCAACAATTTGATCAGTTGTCTTAACAAAATGGACCTCGATATTTCCATCCTCGACATGATCCTTGATGAAATGATATCGAAGTGCTATGTGCTTTGTCTTCGAATGTTGCACCGGATTATGGCAGATACGTATTGCACTTTGTGAATCACAATACAAAGGTATATTTTTCATGTTGATTGTGTAATCACGAAGTTGACTTTGAATCCATATGACCTTAGAAGTGAAAGCAGCAGCAACAATATTATCTACTTCTATTGTGGAAATCAAAACACAAGTTTGTTTCTTCGATTGCCAGCTGACAAGCTTCCCGTCCAAAAGTTGACATCCAATAGTAGTGTTTTTTCGGTCGAGTTGACACCCATCAAGGTATGCCTCTGAAAATTCCTGAATGAAGAAACCAGTCTTCGAAGGGTACCACAAACCCAACGACACAGTTCCTTTGAGATATCGAAAGATATTCTTCACAGCAGTTAGATGGGGTTCTCTGGGATTCGACTGATACCTGGAACAGTTGCAAACAGCGAACATAATATCAACTCTACTAGCAGTTAAGTATAGTAAAGAACCTATCATGCTCATGTACAACGTGAGGTCGACATCAGACTTATCTAACGAATGCCCTAAGCGCTTGCCGACTGCTATTGGTACTTTCAATTTTGAACTATTCGTTATGCCAAATTTCTCAAGAAAGTTATGAGAGTACTTCTCTTGATTGATGAAAATTCCATCCCTACTTTGACGAATATTTAGTCCCAGAAAATTATTGATCTTACCCATCATACTCATCTCGAATTGACTTTTCATCATATTCTCAAATTTTATAGACAATGAAGGGTCAGTCGAACCAAACATAATATCATCTACGTAAATTTGAACTAGCCTCAGATGATCCCTTACTTTCTTTTGAAATAGATTAGGATCAACGGATCCTTGTTTAAATTTAGAGAGTTTCAAGAAATTGGTAAGAGTTGCATACCATGCTCGAGGTGCTTGTTTTAATCCATAAACAACTCTATCGAGAATATAACAATGATCAGGGAATTTATCATTTATAAAACCTCAAGGTTGTTCAACGTACACAGTTTCTTCTAATACGCCATTGAGAAAAGCACACTTGACATCCATTTGGTAAACATCTAAGTCCTTGTGTGCTGCATAAGCAAGAAATGTTCGAACATCCTCGAGTCTCGTGACAGGGGAAAAGGTTTCATCATAGTCAATACCTTCTTGTTGTGAATATCCTTTAACAACCAGTCTTCCTTTGTTTCGAACACCATTACCTTCTTTGTCAGTTTTACTTTCAAAAATCCATTTTAAGCCTATGACCGAAACATCATCTGGTTTAGAACTAGTCTCCAAACCTT